CTGGTGAAGACAAAGCGGGTGAATAAGCAAATGTGGTGAAGAAAGGTGATGGTGCCTGGCTATTAAAAGATATAGCGTCTGGGATCTTAAAGGCTTGAAGGTAAACAAGCAGCCATCTAACTCAGAAGCAACAAAGCCTACATGGAAGAAGCACATCTTTGCTTTTTTTTTTAACACTTTAAAGAGTTCTTGCTTGGCAAATTTGACCAATGCAATATGTCATTTGATTTCTTGATTGCTGCTTTCATGTGTGTTGATTGTGGATATAAGTAAAATTAAATCCTTGATAATTTTAATCTTTTATCCATTTATTATGATGTTAATTTGGATAGTTTGGGGATTTTTGCTTTCTTTACTCTGAGCTACAATCCATTCAGAAGTCTTTGATCTTCATCGATGCTATATGTGCTTCAAGCCCTCTTTACTTTCAGCAAGCAAGATTGTATCACCTGCATGTTGCAAGTTGTTAATGAACCTTCCTCCAATCCGGATGCCACACTCTTCTTCATAGTCCAACTTCTCAAATTAAGTATGATAAAAAGATACAGTCCCAACACAAATCCATCCTGATTTTAAGCCATTTGTTTTATTCAAAGATCTTCTTGTTCTATATACAAAATTCCCTCTGAGTACAATTGTTTGTTGTTGTTGTTGTTAGGTGCCATTGAGTCAGTTCTGACCCATAGTGACACTACACACAAAAGGGAAAAAACAAACCAACACTGCACTATCCTGTAGTATCCTCACAGTTGGTTCTATGCCTGAGCCATTGAGACAGCCACTGTGGGAATCCATCTTCCTGAGGGGCTTCCTCTTTTTCCCTGAGGGGCTTCCTCTTTTTCCCTGCCCTTCCATTTAAACAAACATGATGTCCTTCTCCAGGAACTGGCCTCTACCAACATGTCCAAAGTACATAAGGCGAAGTCTTGCTATGCTTACCTCAAAGAAACACTCTGTACTTACTTATTTCGATACAGATTGTTTGGTCCTGTTAGCAGTACAGAGTACTTTCAATATTCTTCTCCAGCACCACAATTCAAATGCATCAATTTTTCTGTGGTCTTCCTTATTCAGTGTCCAACTTTCACATGCATATGATGCAAAGAAGAATACCATAGCTTGGGTCACCTTAATCCTCAAAGTAACATACTTGCTTTTCAATTCTCTAAAGAGGTCTTGTGCAGCAGATTTACCTAATGCAATACATATTTTCATCTGACTGCTGCTTCCATGAGCATTGATTGTGGATCCAAGGACTATCAAATCCTGACATCAATCTTTGATCCATTTATCATGATGTTACCTATTGGTCCAGTTGTCAGAATTTGGTTCTTCCTTACACTGGGTTATAATACATACTGAAGGCTACAATCCTTGACCTTCACCAGGCAAGTGTTCAAGTTCTCCTCACTTTCAGCAAGCAAGGTTGTGTCATCTGCATATAGACAGTTGTTCATAAGCCTTCCTCCATTCCTAATGACACATTCTTCTTCATCTAAACCAACTTCCCTGATGATTTGCTCAGCATACAGATTAAACAAGTTTGGTGACAGGATACAACCCTGACACACACCTTTCCTGATTTTGAACCATATCCATATTCCTTTGTTTTATTTGCACAACTTCCTCTTGATCCGTGTACAAGTTCCAAATGAGCACAACTGAGTTTTCTGAAATTCTCACCCTTTGCAGTGGAGTGACTTTGGATATCAATAAAACACGAGTAAACACCTTTCTGGTATTCTCTACTTAGAGCCAAGATCCATCGAATGCCAGAAATTATATCCCTCGTTCAATGCTGTCTTCTGAAGCCAACTTGAATTTCTGGCAGCTTCCTGTCAATGTACTGCTTAAGCCATTTTTTAATTATGTTCAGCAAAATTGTACTTTCATGTGATATAAATGCCATTGTTCTATAAGCTGAGCACTCTGTTGAGCCACCTTTCTTTGTAATAGGCACAAATATGGATCTCTTTTAATTGTTTGGCCAGGTAGCTGTCTCCCAAGTTTCTTCGCATACTAGTGAGTTCTTTCAGCACTGCATCAGTTTGTTGAAACATTTCCATTCTGCCGATTCCTGAAGTGTTGTTTTTCACTTATATCCAGCGTCTCTTCAATCACCCTTTCTTCATGTATGGTGTTCTTGATGCCATTCCATAACTTTGCTAGTCTTCAGTTATTAGTGTTTAATATGCCAAATCTGGTGGCTAAAATTAAACGGAATATAGTCAAGGCTTGGTTTTTACTTTTGTGGGTTTTTGAAAATGTTATGCAGCTTCTTGAATGTAGCATATGAGCAATTGATGGTTTGTTCTACAATTAGCTCCTGGTATTGTTTTGGCTCATGTCATTGACTTTCTCCATCATCTATTCCCACAGATGTAGTCAAAATGATATCTGGGCATTTCATTTGGTGAGGTTGATGTGTCTAATCATCATTTACATTGTTGAGAAGAAGATATTTGCAATGAAGATATTGTTGGTCCTCCTGAAAAAATTCTATCATACCATCTCCAGCTTCATTTCTTTCACCATATTACCCAGCTGCTGATAATTCCTTTTTGTTTCCAACTATCACATTCTATTCACCAGTAATTATTAAATGTATCTGGATTGCATGTGTGATCATTTCCTGACTTAAGAAGTTGGTAGATTTTTGTGTCACTTCGCATATAATTCCTAGGTCTCCCCTGGCATTTATTACTCTGCTACTTGGTGTTGCAGTACAGTGGCCAGGGGAGGAAAAATAAATTAGTAGAAAAGGTAGACATTCATGAGGAATGTGCTCCATTAAACAATCAACTATTCAAAACAAAACGGCCAATACTGATCCAAAAGCAAGGACGAGAAGGCAGGGAGGGTCATGGAAACTGGATAGCTGGAAATCAAACTGGCAAAGAAAATGGTGAGAATACTGACAACACCATAGAACAATTTATGTATATATATATATATATATATATATATATATATATATTACTGAATTGGAATCTAATTTTCTGTGTCCATCTTCACATGAAACATTAAAATAAAAAGATGAGTGTAAAAGAATGGCAATAACCCCACAAAGTTCTGAGTATCGGTATCTCCAGGAAGATTTTTGAGATGGTCTATTTTATCTTGAGATCAGGTTGGTATAGTGGCTTAGAATTCAGTGCGCCTCACACTTTAACATTCATGTTAATTTCTCAGGGGGCTTGTTGAGCTATAGATTTCTCAACCTCCTGTAGAGATTATATTCAACAGTTCCCAACAGATTCCAACTCATGGTGACTTTGTGTATCTGAGTAAAACTCCACTTGGAGTTTTCAACGATTATGATTTTTTTTTAAGCAGTAGATCATTAAGTCTTTTCTCCAAAGTGCCTCAGAAAGTAGCCAGGTACCTCCCTCTTACCAAATATAGGTTAGGGCCTCAAATTTTGCATTTTTAAACTTATTCCCATGTCATGCTGAAGTTGTTAACTCATAAAGAGATTTTCAATAACACTGCTTTAGATAATTTTCTCTATATCCAGTACCGGATGAAAGGATCTTTAAAACACTTGGGACCATAATAAAGAGACTTCTACTATCCTTTCTTTATGTACAGAACAGATTGCCCAAAGGAGATCTTGTTCAGCCAAAGGAGATCTATCAGGAGAAGGGAACCATCCACTTCACTTTTTCTTTTCTTTATTACAGACTCTCCAGATCCTGTTTGGAATGATGAACTTTTCTTTTGGGGTCATCATGCTTTTCACCTTTGTAGACCCCTACCCACGGTTTCCCTTAATATTTCTGTCAGGATATCCGTTCTGGAGCTCCATTTTGGTGAGTATACTCAGCAAGCACAACTTAAAGCCATAGCAAGGCGCTCGGTGATGGGAAATGTTAGAAAACAGCCATTGAGATGCTAAGGAATATATCATTATAAAGGGAGCTAGATTTAGCTGACAGATTGGGGGATGTGTCCTATGTTTTCAAAAGTAAAAGACAAAATGTACTCTTGTTGAAGTCACAAGGCATAAGAATTAGTGATATGCTACCGTCTGGTATGTATTCCTTTAGGGCTTGAAGTTTTTTATTTTCTCATTCAAATTGAGTCACTACCAGTTATGAGCAACAAGCATAGAACAAGGGCAATGAGGATCAAAGTTTAATCATGCAAGGATCCTGTCTTCAAAGAGCGCTCAATCTACCCATTGAGAAAAGCAGGTTAAACAGGTAAGCTAAAGGCAGTGTGAGATACAATATTGTAGTGGTACAGAAAGTTTTTGTGTAAGCACAGAGGGCGGAGACATGAAAAGGGGGAAGATTTCTCAGGTGTATCTTCAAGCTGCACAGACCTATTCATTTCATCACAGCTGATGACATTCGATAGAAATTGATTGAGCACTCAACTTGGTGTCAGCGAATGACCAGTTGAACAGAGGGTTGAACAATTCCCACAGTGTCCTGGGTGGTAACAGAGGAGAGCGTGGAGAGCCCCTCTCTATAGTAAGGCACCTACCAAAACGGAGGGGAGATTTCCCAGAGACATCCCTAGCTCCATCAAGTGATGAAGGATGAGTGGTTCATCAGGAAAAAACAGATGCAGAGGAAAGGGGTGGTCGGTGGCTGAGTAGATAACCTGTTGCATGCCAAGGGAGAGAGAAGAACAAAGACCTGAAAGTACAGAAGATGTCCACATAAGCCAATATGGGATGAATGGGAGAAATAGCCCTTGTAATCCAGGTTAAGGGGCTAGCAGTATTTTTCACATGGATGTGCTATAATCAGAATCAAAGTTTCCCTTATGCAGTTAGGCTGCTATGCGGCTTACCTCAATAAAATATTGCAATATTTTGCAAATTTTCCAGTATATTAGCTACAGCTCCATTTTATTTTCCCATTTAAGATGATGAATGAATTCAATGGCTAATGGGTAGGAGAGTCATTTCTTAAAGTAACGCTGACGTCCAACCTAATTGTTTAAAGCTGATTTAATATCAGTGTATCATGATAGTAAAGCTAAGGTCATTATAGCTACAAAACAGAGGTAATAACATTAAAGCCATAAGGTTAAAGGAAAAAAAACCCCTCACGTTCAGAACAAACAAAAACTGATGTTTACAATAAACCATTGAGGATCAAAGCCTATCTGTAGCCCAGTATTTTTCCACTCTTCAATGGTGGTCTATTATGCAGGGCATCTTACCCTTCTCGCTGCATTAAGGATCATGTGAACTGGGCAGGAAAGCATGTTAAATATTTAGGGAGGGATATATTTTGCAAGAACACCTTACTATCCACTATCCATGGCATTAATGTAGACATTACTTCTGTTAACAGTTCATTAATTCCGGAGCCTTCCTAATTGCAGTGAAAAGAAAACACACAGACACCCTGGTGAGTTGCATTTCCACGTTCTCAAAATATTTCTCATTTTGAAATCATTCATTCTAGCCTTGTAGAAGAATTTTGAAAATTATTATACCCAAACCAAACCAAACCCACTGCCATTTAGTTGATTCCAATTCATAAAAAGCCTATAGGAGAGTAGAATGGCCCCTACAGGGTTCCAAAGCTATAAATCTACAAAGAAGAGAAAGTTTCGTCTTTTTTCCCCACAGAGAAATTGGTGGGCTTGAACAGCTGACCTGGTAGTTAGCAGCCCAGTGTGTAAACCACTGTGCCACAAGAGAATTAGGTCACCATAATTCTACAAACACTCAAGTTAGTGTTCAGACCAATCACATTTGTTTCCTTTAGTTCATGGTATCATAAAACATTAATTGGTTTCTCTCTGAAGGAAAACAGAAGAGAATTTTCTAGGCTATCCAGTTTATAATTCCTACTTTATAAATTAAGGCACTGAAGCATAGAGTAGTTGAATGATCTGTCAGGAGTCCCTTAGCAGTGCAGTTAAAGGCTGGACTACTAGTAAGAAGGTTAGCAGTTTGAACTCACCCGGAGGTTCCTCAGAAGATAAGTGTGGCCATCTGATTCCAAAGAGGCAGAGTTTTGAAAACCCTTTGAAAACCCAGAGCAGTTCCACTCTACCCATAGCATCACTAGAAACTGAGATCAAGGTGACAACAAGAATAACTACTTGCCAGCAGTTTTGGCAGGTACTCACTTGACTTCTCAAAGAACGCTGGTGTCTCAGTGTGCTATACATTGAGCTGCTAACCATAAGGTTAGGGATTCAAACCAATCCATCATTCTGTAAATAAAAGATGAGACTATCTCCTTCTGTAAAGATCTAAAGTCTAAGATACCCACAGGGACAGTTCTACTCTGTCCTACCAGGTCCCTATGAGTCAGAATTGACTCGATGGCAATGAGTTAGGGAGCTTAACTCATATGAGGGCACACTGTATAGACAACATAATTAAACAGGACTGAGATATAAAGAATACAGTGCTAATTAATGTGAAATTTTAATTTATAGGTATGCAAATCCAGGTAGACTAGAGAAACAAATTTATGGACACTCATGTGTGTATAAGAAAAACCTTTGTATACAAGAGCAATTGACAAAACATCCCAGCACACCATAAGTCCTTATATTAGCCCATATGTTGAATACCAATCTATAGAGTCCGCTTCAGACTCATGAAACACATGCAATAACGCCAAATGCATGAAGATCATAGGCCAGTGGGTGGGAAGTCTTGTGGATCCAGTGGCATTGTAAGCATCTCAGCACTGACAGGGATATTCACATGGCTTCTCCAGCTCCGAGGCACTGGTTGCTAATCAGAAATGTCTTGCAGTGAGTGAGCCTGTGTCCCATCTCTAGCAAGCTATTTATCTCCTTAGCGTCTCCAAATGAGGTCATTAAACTGTGATCTGATTGGCCAGCTAAACTCCACTCCTTCACTCCTAAGCCTCAAATTGACAACTTCCACAATAGGTATATTTAAAAATAGAAATCCTTTCAATCTCTTAAACAAAAATAGATATGGGCTTTTAACTAATAAGATAATAATCAATTTCAGAAAGAGCACCTCCCATAAGTGTGTACTTTTAGAAAGAAATCAAAATTACAAGGAAATTCAGTATTTAACTAAATGAAAATGTCTTAAGCCAACATGTAAACAGGCTGTGACTTTCGCTAGAACATCAAATTGCAATGGAACATGACTATTCCTATGCCCCCAAGAACACCTGTTTTGTTCCTTGTGCATCCCACCAACTACCTCTGGCACAGAATTGGTGGGGCGGTGGGGAGGGGGGGACATGTGGAAAAAATTATGAAAGTTCACTGGATCCCATCATTCTGTGGCTAAGAAGCCCGAAGCCCAAAGCCCAAAGAGGTTAACCAGCTCACACAAGATCACACATCCATTTGATAGCAATGGTTACATTAGGATTAACATTGAAAGCACTGATTACATGAATCACAATATGCTGTGATTAAAGTTTCCCAGACACTGGTTTTGCCTACTGAACACCCTGAGCTTGAATGCCTCCACTATGTTCTGATTCTCTTTCAGGTGATGCTGAGCCGGATAATGAATTCTCTTAGTGCCCTGGGAGCAATAGCTGGAATCGTTCTTCTCTCCTTTAGTTTCTTACTAGATCAGCACTACCTTTGTGGCTTTTCTGACCAACTCATGCACTGTCATGCGATTACCACCTTACTAATCGTAAGTATGTTGTGTCTCAATGGGCTCACACCTAAGAACAATTGTGAGGATGGTGCAGAACCAGGCATTGCTTCATTCTGGTGTGCATCGTGTGGTTATGAGTCAGAACAGACTCCATGGCACCTCACGACAACATGCCGTATCTTTAGGGTGAGGAGTAGAGGGTTCAACAAAGAAGATGTGTTGGCATCCAATCAACACTAGCTATAAATTGGGATAGACACATGCATTATCTTATACTCACAAACATTTACTAAATTCATAATCACTGATAAACAGGCAATGTGGAATAAGGGAAAAAAACACGTTGCAATCTCATCTTTAGAATTCAGAGAAAAGTAGAAGTAAACTATAGATACATGTATATTATATGAGAGAGTGATATACTAAAAGAACAATATAGGTACACAGTATGGTAACAATTCACAGGCCAAAATGTACATCATGGTCATGAATGGAATAAGTTTATGATTTTGATTTTGGTTGGCTTCTGGTAGACTGGACTTCTGGTAAACCACGGTAGACTGAAGGGAGGCATTTAACTCTGCTCTTTCCAAAGAGCAGAAATTAAAGAAGAATACAAAGAAGTATGAATTTGCAAGGAGAGAAAAAAAAATTCTCAAGACTAGTAAACGTTGTCGTGGAGTCTGGGATGGAAGTGTTTGAAATTTGCCAACTCTAGCAAGCTTTGCAACTAACCCCAAGTGTCATCTGGGATTGAATTGTTTAGAATTTGCAAATTAGAGAAGTTTCTGGGTCAGTTGATGATTTTATTTCTGGGAAACAAATAGATGTTGAACATGAGTTCACATGGAATTGTTAGAAACAGTTTCTTTGTTGTGTTAACGTACATGTACAGTTCCAAAGAATCTTAAGCTAAAGCAGAAGCTTCAATAGTTTGTCTTACCTACTGTGCTTTGGTAACTTTAACAACGTGATGAGTCCTCATACCATCTGTTTTTCAAGTCATAGCTTTTACTTATGTCTCTATCCTTCACAATTACTATCACAAAGATTAAAACTATAAAAATGACCCAAACAAAAGGAGATTCAATTAAGCTGATAGCTAATGTCTCAAAATCAACAACAAAAACTGCAAAATAATACAATAACTTTAATGTGCTGCAACATAAATAAATAAATGGCAACCAAAGATTTATCATGACCATGAAAACAGGGCAAAGTGAATTTTTCAAATATATAGAAGAAGAGTTTTCTATCTTCAGACATTAATTAAATGGATAATAAATAATGAAATCAGATAGTAAGAAATGATAGCATGCTGAAATACAAGAAGGAATGGAGAACAAAGGAGATAATAAATATGTGGACAAATATAAAATGAAAGTTTCTGTGTCAAACTAGTTATAATACCACTTACTATTTTAATTTTAATTTAAAATTAAAGTGTTTAAAATGCCTGGCAACATTTTAACTTAACATTTAAGTTAAGAAGCAAACAAATGGAGTAGAAGTGTTTGTTGTGGCCTTTCATTTGACTTAAAAAGAGGGTTTGATTAATTTTAGGCTTTGATAATTTGTTTTATAAATCTAATGTGTAATTAGAAATATGAAATTAAAGCTATTGGGAATGTTTACCAATGTACTCAAAAACAAGGTACATTCTTCTAAAACATATTAACAAATATTAAGCATATCTTGTGAAATAAAACAAGTACAGACTCAATACCAAAGCTTGGAGCCATACAGCGTATGTTCTATGTAATCAAACCATAAATCAATGATTAAAAAATATTTTTTAAAACCTTCTGTGCCTAGCCATAGAGAAATATACTTCAAAGTAATTATAGAGTCAGACATAAAAATAATAATGGAACTCTAAAAACATTGACTTTAGAAAAACCACTAATGTTTTAAAGACAATCTATAGCCATGGAATAAATATAAACATAAAATATGAAAGTGTGAAAAATAATAGTTCAACCATTAATCACAAGGAGTTGGGGGAAGTATAGCAATTTTTAAAATTATAATAAAAGAAATAATAGATTGAAATTTGAGCAGAAATAAAGTAGAAAATATGCCTATATTAGCTAGAAAGAACCAACAATTCTTGGAAAAG